GGGTTCAAATTGTGGCCTGCTCCACCAGAGTTCCCTCATCTGTAAATGAGGTTATTGGCCTTTGATGATCTCTAAAGTTCTTTAACATTCTTTGTTTTCAGGGTGTTTCTGCTTCTGACATATCAAATGATACATGTAATGTGCTTGGCAAACCTGAAAGCACTGCAGCGAGCTAGCATTGGTATGAAGCTTTAAGGCTTGCAGAGAGTTTTGCAAATACAATGTCATCTGATCCTCATAGTGACCTTGGGACATAGGTACTATTAGGATCCTCATTTTATCATTAAGGAAACTGAGGCAGACAATGGTTAAGTGACTTGCTCAGGGTCACACAGGCAGGAAGTGTCTGAGGCCAGATTTCAACTTTACCTGAGTCCCAGGTCCAGACTTCTATACACTGTACTACCTAGGTGCCTTATCATGTTAGATATCATTGTTACTTCTATTATTGTTATCATTATCCTCATTAGTCTATATTCTTAGGTACTTTGAAGAACATTCTGTGTTCTAAGTTCTATAATGTGGCTCTGATATTCTGTGTTCTAAGGGCCCTCCCAGCTCTGCCATTCTATGTTCCAAGGTTCTGCCCAGTTATGACATCTGTGTTCTAAGGACCCTCCCAGCTCTGACATTCTGTGTTCCAACAGCCCTCCTAGACCTGATATCCTGTGTTCTAAGGGCCCTCCCAAGTCTGACACGTATAATAGGGTAACTTTCAACTCTGACATTCTGTGTTCTAGGCGCCTTCTAACTCTGGCATTCTATATTATCAGGTCCTTTCTAACTCTTAACATAATATGCTCTTAGCCTCCTTCCAGTTTTGACATTCTGTGTTCCAAGCTCTAGACTAACACTGGCATTCTGTGGTCTGAGGACCCTTCTGGAGATAATGTTCTGTCTTCCAAAGCTCCTTCCATTTTCATAGGAAGTGGTGCAAGACAGGGAAAACAGCATTGCCTCTAGACTCATAAGGCCTGGGTTTGAGTCTTGCCTCTCATGGGTTTTATTTCTCTGTTACCTTAGGCAGGCCAGCTTCCAGGAACCTCAGTGTAGTCCTCTTGGGGGTGGTGACAGTTTCTGATTTTTTTTTAATTCTTATTTTATAAATTTTTATTTATTTATTTATTATTTTTTTGTGAGGCAATTGGGCTTAAGTGACTTGCCCAGGGTCACATAGCTAGTAAGTATCAAGTCAAGTGTCTGAGGCTGGATTTGAACTCGGGTCCTCCTGACTCCAAGCTGGAGCTCTATCTACTGTGCCACCCAGCTGCCCCCCAGTTTCTGATTTTAAACTTAATTTCTGAGGGATAATAAGATTGTCCACTGCCTTTCTTATCAGTAGGTGCTCTATCATGCAGCTAGGATAGAGGCACAAGCAGAGTGCAGAGTGAACTACCCAGTCAAATCTCCCTAGTTCAAGGGTAAGTCCTTGGCCATGTGGGCAGGGCTGGTTTCTTCCCTTCCCTCTTCCAACTGTTGCTTTTATTTATTTTTTCTTTTTTCCCTCAATTAACAAGCATTTATTTTCTCTCTTTGTGATCTCCCCACCCTTCACTGAAAAAAAACTCAAAACCAAAACCTCTTGCAACAAATATACTTAGTAAAGCAAAACGAATCCCCATCCTGGCCATGTCCAGAAATGTGTCTCATTCTGCATATTTAGTCCAACACCCATCTATCAGGAGATGGGTAGCATTCTTCATCACTGGTCCTCTAGATTGACCACTGATGAGAGTGCTTAAATCTTTTAGAACTGTTCATTTTTACAATGGGATGGTTTCTGTAGAAACGATTCTCCTGGTTCTGCTTCCTTCACTCTGCCATCAGTTCATTCAAGTCTTCTCAGTTTTCCCTGACCATCATCCCTTTGGCTATTTCTTACAGCACAATAGTATTCCATGACATTCCTACACCATAATTTACTCAGTTATTCCCCAGTTTGGGGACACCCTCTTAGTTTCCTGTTTCCTGGGATGGCTTCTGATATCTAAGGATGGCTGGAATCTTTGGTTATCTCTAATTCTGGACCCTAGGATGTGGTGGAAAGAATGATGCTTCTGGGGTTTGAGGGTCCAGGTTCAAATCCGGGTTGTCCTACTTCACATATGTGAGGGCTTAATCACACTTCCCCTCTAGGGGCTTCAATTTCTGCATGAGTAAAATTCAAGAGTTGGACTAAGTGACCTCCAAGGTCCTTTTAATTCTAAATGTAAGGTCTCTGAAGTGATGGCTCTCACTTTCTGATTCTTTCTCATGTGCCATGTGCTCATTGGGAATGCATGAGAGAAAACACCTGCAAGTGAGCAGGTAGTTTCTGATTTGAATGTCAAATGATAATTACATGGTTTTTTTTCCAGTTTCAATTGGATAACCAAGAGCAACTCTGCTAAAAGCAGAGCATTTGTTCTTTTGGGAAATATGGTGTAACCAAAAAATCCCAAACCAAACAAAAAAAAAATTAGGGAGTCAGAACACCCATGTTTAAATCCCAGCTCAACTATATGTGACATTAGGCCAGGAAGTGAGTTTCTCTAGGCCTCTTAGTGAAGGGAGTGGACTCCAAGGTTGTTTCCATCCCGGAAATTCTATGACTCTTATGACCATATTTGAGCCTGATTTTAATTGTGGGCCTTGGAGTTAGCAGACTTGGATTCAAAAACTGGCTGTGTGACCATGGGCAAATTATTTCACCTCTCTAAGCCTCAGTTTTTTCTTCTTTAAAATGGGAATAATAATATTACCACAAGGTGGGCTATGAGACTTGGTAAAGTGAGAAGAATGTTAGATTTTTGACTAGAGAGTCAGGGATCCCAAGCCTGTCTCTGCCACTTCTACCACGATGACCTTGGGAATCTCTCCTGGCCTCAGTTTCCTCATGTATAAAATGAAGGAGTTGGACTAGATGACCTCTAAGGTGCCTTCCCCCTTTAAATCGATGATCCCATCATGGTAGCATCTCCGTCCCCCATGCTGGGACAGATTCGTGCTGGTGATTAGAAGCTATGAAGAAGATCTGAGGTTGAGAACCTGCCTAAAGAAGAGGAAACCGGGCCCAGCAACAGTTGATTTGTACTCAAATACAAGAGTCAGGCAGGATCAAGTAATTGGCAAACATTCATTAAACCAGCCCCTGTCCTAGCACTGGAGATAACAAAGACAAAAGTGAGGAGGAACTCATATCCTATTCTTCTGATTCCACCCATGATCATAGCATCAAGAGTTGGGAGGCACCTTTCAAGGTCCTCCTTAAGATCGAAGGATCTAGAGTTGGAAGGAACTCTTTGAGATCATCTAGCTCAATTCCACCTTAGTTTGCCATTGAGGAAACTGAGGGATAAATAAGGTAAGTGACTTATCCAAGGCTGCCTAGGTAGCGAGTGTTGGAGCTGGGGATTCATAGCCTTTTTTTTAAACTTCGACTCCAGTGTTCTTGTTGGTATTCCACAGACGCATTCTTTGAATGTCTCCTTGTGGGTGGTAGCTCCAGGACAGGTCCTACTAGAAGAGTGACCAAATTGTCCAAGAGGGACTGAAATGCTGATTGATTTAAATGGACTGAAATCCAGTGAGTAGAGTAGCAAGACTCCACCTGTCACATGCATGACCGATGTCACCCACTTCCTTGTTGGACCTTCATCTTCTGGATGGGTGTGCTACAACAAAACTTTGAAGAAGATTGAAGACAGCTTGGTGCGGCTGACAGGGGTGGGGAAACTGGGGTCTGGAGGCCACATGTGGCCTTCTAGGTCCTTGGGTGCCAACTTTTGACTGAGTCCAAATCCTCTGTTAAAAGGATTCAGTCAAAGGGCTGCACTTAAGGACCTAAAGGGCCACGTGTGGCCTCCAGGCTCAGGTCCCCCACCCCAGTGTAGCAGAAAGAATGTTGGCCTTGAAGCCAAATTTTGGTTTGAAGCCAGACTCTGCTGCTAATTAGCTGTGTGACTATGAGCAAGTCACTGAACTTTTATGACCCTGAATTTTATCATTTGTATAAGAAGGGATTTGGTTGAGATGAGGAATTCTTAACATTTTTGGTGTCCTGCACCTCTTTGGCAGCTAACAGGTCTCTTCTCAGAATGATTGTTCTAAATGCATAAAACAAACTGTATAGGATTACAAGGGAAATTAATTATATTTTAATTTATTTTAGTGTAATATTATTTAATATTTAATTTAAAATATTTAATATTAATATTTATTTTAATATAAAAAAATCGTGGCCTCCAGGTTAAGAACACTTTTCAAAACTGCTCTGATTTATGCGTTCAGGATCTGATATTTGTAAACTTTGTGGCCAAGGCCCAACCACCCAGGCCTCAAATTTGTCATTTGCCAAAGATAGAATGCTACTTTAGACTGAGAGGCAGCCTCTGCTGTGGATAGAAAGCTGGGCCTCAGAGTTCTGAGAGCCTGGGTTCAAGGACTGCCTCAGACACCTCCTGGATGTGTGACCCTGGCCATGTCATTTAACCTCTTAGTGCTCCCAGAAATCTCTCTAAGGCTACAAGAAGCAGGTGTTGATGCACGTTGGTGGAGGGAGTTCTGAAACTGATAGTTTTAGATTCAAATAATAAAAAAGGACCAAAAAAGTTTCCTTTAGACTACCCACACTATCTTTAGGTATCCAGGTTACACAGTGGATAGGGCACTGGCCTGGAGTCAGCAAGTCCTGGGTTCAAATCCAGCCTTAGACACTCCCTTGATGGGTGACCCTGGGCGAGTCACTGTTTTTGTTTCCTTATCTAAAACTGGGGATCACAAAAGCACCTACTTCCCAGGGTTGTTGTGACGATTAAATGAAATGATGTTTATATAGAAATGCTATCTATTATTATTGTTACTGTTATTATTACTTCCTATTTCAAAGTTTGGTCAGTTGCTCTGTGAAGCATAAAGGACTGCAGAAATGTGAGTTACTGTTGAATAATTATTAATTTTAATAAATAACAAACACTACACATTCCTGCACATCCCTGAGGCTGTGCCCAACACCTGCTGTGGGGAAGAGGGTGAAACCCAGGGTCCTCTTTTCTCAGCGTGCTGCTCTCCTCTCCTGGATGGGAGAGATTGGCTGTGACTTGGGACATCTTTGTTATCGCGATTGGCAAGGGAGGTTTGGTATCTTCTGAGGTTTTCTTGCTTGGTCGCTGGCAGGTCATTTATTGGTCCACGATTGAGAAGAGGATGGGGGTTCCTGGGTTGAACAGAATATACTTAAGTCATAGAAATCAAAGGGAAACTTAATGATCTTTTATATACTCTCTAGGAATAGTTTTTCATTCATTCATCATTTACTCATTCCAATTACAGTCCCTCCAGGATAGTGATTGGCAGCCATACTTTGGATTAGAAGAGCTGGATGCATTTTTAGAACAAGAAATGTCAGAGATAGAAGGGCTTTTAAAGGTCATCTGGTATAATCCCTTCATTTTACAGTTAGCCATTTCCTTCTTCAGCTCATTTGACAGATGACGAAACTGAGGCAACAGGTAAGTGACTTGCCCAAGGTCACACAGCAAGTAAGTGTCCGAGGCCAGATTTGAACTCGGGAAGATGGGTCTTCCTAACTTTCTTTCTATTGCTCCATATTAGGCACTTAATAAATGCTTATTTACCTTCATTTTCCCTATGTGCCAGGCACTGTGCTAAACTCTGGGAACACAAAGACAAGCAGAAAGAAAGACAAAACCGAGGTGCCGAGGGTTTAGTCATTAGCTCACAGGTAGGCGGTAGCGGATCTGGGATTTGAACCCATATCCTCTGACCCCAACGTCTGTGCTCTTTCCAGTGTCTAGACAGCACCTACTTGCTGTGTGCACGATGCTACTTTCAGCCCTGGGACAGGATCCAAGTTTAGTGAAGACATGTTCCTGCCTTCAGGTAGCTTATAGTCCTGGAGGGAAGCAAATACACCATTGTCAATCATAGCATGAAATGCATCTGGTGCCCTCTTGGTAAAGGGGCCGTGACTCCTCAGCTGCCTTCAGGCCCCTTCCTCCTCGTGGAGGCTGGGATGATGGAATGCCTCCTGGGCCCTGGACGTTGGCATGTGTGGTAACTGCATTTCCCATCAACTGTGTGGAGGGCCTTCCTTACTTTGCTTCATCCTCGTTCCTGGAAAATATCCTCTTACTGGAGTCTTCATATGCCAGTTCAAAAGAGAACAGGGGATTTGAGGGCTGATGGGTGTAATTCCCTGGATGCTGGGCTGATGCAACTGCGTAAGCCCCTTGTACTCCTGTAGTGATGCTTTCAGATTATTTTAACCAGCTTCTCCACGTTGGGTGACTCTATGACCCATCTGGGCTGGTTAGCTCTCCTTTTGTCCAGTCATTTCAAGAAGGCTTTGGGAAATATCATATTGTCTCCTTTCTTTGGAATGTGGAGAAGCGTCCACTAATCTTTTTTTTTTTAAATTTTTTATGTGGTTTGGTTCTGAAGAGTCCAAGCTAGGAGGCTTCCCAGCGGTGTGACCTTGGACCCTTAACCTCTGACCCTCACTCCCCTCATTGTAAAACCACATCTTGTAAGCTGGTAGAGGGAGGACACCAGAGCTGGGAGCTAAGGATTGGTTTAGGCCCCCTCTTATGGGAGGAGGCATTTGAGCTGAGCTCTGAAGGCGGCTGGGGATTCCACAAGTCAAAGGTGCCCTCGTCAGGCACCGAGCCAAGGTGCAGTGATGGTAGATGGGCTCTTCTCTATGAGAAACAGCAGACAGACTGGTTTGGCTGGGTCTGGGGGAGTGAAGCGCCATAAGCCTGCAAGGATGGGCTTGAGCCGGGTTTGGAAGGATTTGCAGTGCTTATCAGAGAAGCTTGTTTGTGATCTGCTTCTAACAGAGTACCTCCGACTCCTGCTCTGGGGTTCCTTCCATTACCGCACACTCCCAGTACATCCCCCTCTCCCTGCCTTCCCAGAGGCTTGGATTGAGGAGGGTGTGGCCTCTTGGAGATGGAGCATTAGACCAAAGGGTGTGGGAGGCCAAGAGCTGACACCCTTGAGGGCCTGGAAGAATGCAGGGCCCCTCCTGCCCCAGCCTCCTCCCCTGGCAAGCTAAAAATAGACCAGTCCTCTGACACCTGCCCAGATGGGCCGGGCTGCCTGCATGAGCACCTTCACGCTCGGGTTCCAAGCGCTTGTGGGCTGGCAGCTCCGCTCCTCCGTCCTGGCTCTCCCTTCCCTGGCTGGTGCTCACACCACACTGCTGATGCTCTGGAAGAAGAATTTGGTCTTTTTTGGAGTGGGTCTTTAGAAGCTAGTAGCAGTCCTCCCTCCTTTCCGCTGACTCCCTGGCGTGGGGCCCAAATCTCCTTCTCAAGCCAATTTTTGGCAATTGCTCTGCTGTATTGTGGCCACCTTGTTTGGGGACAGTTCTGGGGGAGAAGGAGCTGGAGGCTCAGGGGACCCAAGGACTCCTTCCTGCCCTATTCCCAGGATGGGGAGGGTGAGTTTCACCAGCTCTCCTTGCCTGGCCTCGCCTCTGGTGTCAATGCAGAGTGAAAATGATGGGTGAAAATGACGTGCACGCCTGGGCCAGAGCAAAGCCAGCCAGCCTGTTCCTGTCACCTGAGACTCGAGCTCCTCTGCAAGCCCAGCTCTTTTCCAAGGGCTGACCTTTTTATGCTCAAAGGCACTGTGGTGTGGTGGATAGAGGCCTCCCTTAGAGTCAGGAAGACCTGGGCTCGAGTTTCACATCTGATGCTTTGTGACTTTGGGCAGGTTATTTAGAGCTCTCAGAGCCAAAGGCTGCTAGCTCTGCACAGCTTTAGCCTAAAGACATTTATTTGCTGGCCTGAATTATTAGTGCGCAGAGTTTCCACCATAGGAGTTTCTCATACTGATGAAAGGTCCTTTTCTGGCTAAACATTTTCTGTTCTAAGGTCCTTCCTAGCTCCCACATTCTCTGTTCTGAGAGCCCTCCCAGCTCTGACACTTTGTGTTCTAAGGTCCCTCCCGGCTCTGACATTCTGTCTTCTAAGGCTCCCTCCCAGCTCCAACATCCTGTGTTCTAAGGTCTATCTCAACTCTGACGTTCTCTGTTCTGAGGCTGCATACAGCTCTGAAATTTTTATAGGGTTGATCGTTGTCCTTTGTGATCAAAGGAAACAGAAAATGACATCACTATGTTGGAGTCCAGTTACAGTGTGTCTGACTATGGCTGAATCAGACCAATACAAGCTTAGACGGTTCTACCACAGGTCAGGCCCAAATAGCCCCTGTAAACATCTGGAGTGGACATGTCTCTAAATTTGTGCATCTCATGTTTCTTTTGAGCCGCTCCAGTTCTGCTTTGCTCACAGAGCACAGCACCTTTTCTGATGGGGGCACGCCATGCCCGGCAGTCCTGCGCCGGCGTCCCCATGTCATACGATCAGTTCCAAAGTTCTTCAGAGAGATCTTGAGAGTGTCCCTGTGTCGTTTCTTCTGACCTCCATGTGAGTGCTTGCCTTGTGTGAGTTCTCCATAAAATAGTCTTTTAGGCAAACACATATGTTTGGCATTTGGACCACTCTCTGCACTCTCTGCAGGAGACTTTGAATGCTTGCTAGTTTAACCAAGAAAGGACCTCAGTGTCTGGTACCTTATCTTGCCAGGTGATCTTCAGAATCTTCCTAAGACAGTTCAGATGGAAGTGATCCCGTTTCTTGGTATGGCGCTGGTAGACTGGCTTATGGGGTAAGGGCCCTCTCATCTCTGGCCTTCCATGAGTCTGGCCCATGCCAGGACTGAATCCACTGTTTTGACCACCATGTTGCACCCACTTACTGAACTCATCTTGTGCTCATGGGGAGGGATTGAAAGAGGTGGCATGAGAGGCAGCTGTTTTCTTCGATGAATTGGTTAATCCTTCCCTGTGAATCATGGAAAATGTATGTAGACTGGCCCGGCCTCGGGGTGCTGAGGTACTGTCTGCGCCGCTGTTTCTCTTTTGAGCTGGGAAAGCTGAGGGGACAGACTGAAGATGGAGGGGTGGGTGTTGTGTAACGAGGAGCTTGGGGCATGGTTTCACTGTTCCTTCTGTGGTTCTGGTTGTGGGCTGACTGTGGGCAACTTCCTGCCTCCATCAGTGGGGAGTGGGGTGCCCTTCCTCCTCATCCACGTGGTGCGGAGAGAAATGAGCGTGGGCAAGGCTTTCCATCATCTGTTGGTGAGAGGGGGATCAGGGCAGGGGATGTGGATGACTCATTAGAAAATGCTGGAGCAGGGGGCAGCCAGGTGGCACAGTGGATAGAGCAGTGGCCTTGGAGTCAGGAGGACCTCAGTTCAAATCCAGCCTCAGACACTTGCCACTTAACTAGCTGTGTGACCCTAGATAAGTCATTTAACTCCATTGCCTAACCGAAAAATAAAAATGCTGGAGCAGGGAGAAAGGGAGAGGGATTTGGGGGAGAGGGGGGAGACAAGGAGCATACAAAGTGTAGCCTGTTTGTCTCCAGGGGTGGGGAACCTGCAACCTCAAGGCCACATGTGGCCTTCTAGGTCCTTAAGTGTGGCCCTTTGATTGAATCCAAACTTCACAGAACAAGTCCCCTTAATAAAAGGATGTGTTCTGTAAAACTTGGACTTGGTCAAAAGGTGACACCCAAGGACCTTGAAGGCCACATGTGGCCTCAAGGCCCCAGGTTCCCCATCCCTGCTCTAGAGCTAGGCCCCCATTAATAATTAATATTATTTTAATAACAATTAGATTATTATTGTAGCAGTTATTATAGCTAACATTTTGGTAGCGCTTAGAGACTTTCCAAATCACTTTACACATAGTATCTCAACCCTGAGAGTTATATGCTATTGTTATCCCCATTTTACAGACAAGGAAACTGAGGCTGAGAGTTAAGCTAGTTGCCCAAGGTCGCAGAGCTAGTAAATAACTTTGGCAGGATTTTAATTCAGGTCTTCTTGACTCCCTAGTCCAGCCCTTTATCCACTATAGAAGTTATTGGAGGAAGGGGAAGAGAGAGTGTCTCTAGTCCTGGCAGCCTAGAGATATCAGTAGGGGAAGAAAGGAAGAGGAAGAAATGGATAGGCTAGAAAGATAGCAGGGGCCCTTAGCTTGGGCTGTGAACTCATTTAAAAAAATGTTTTGATAATTATATTTCAATATAATTGGTTTCCTTTGTAATCCTGAGTATTTTGCTTTCTTCATTTAAAAATATTCTGAGGGGCAGCTAGGTGGCGCAGTGGATAGAGCACCAG